CCGAGATCACCCCTTGACAAAGCGCTCGTAGTTGCCTTGAGCTAGGGTTTTCCAGGAGAAACTCAAAACTTCCTTCAGCACGTTTCTGCTTCTGATTGTATTCTTTGTGTTTACGAAGTATTTAATAGGTCTCTATCACCGCCAAACGTAATTCCACTCCTTCTCAGACTCGAATTTCCTCGACACACAAGGAAGAAAACCTCGAAAGTCACCTCAAAACCTAAAAACCTCGGAAAAACCCTAGGGTTTCCGCCGCCTCTCAGCTCTCGCTAAACGAGAGAATCTAATATTTTACAGGGAAAAAAAATACAAATTATTAAAGACACGTATTTATGTATGTTGAAAAGAGTTCATTTAACACTACAAAAAAAAGGATCTATGGCAAGGGTTATTTTTGCCTATAGCAAGGGTTTAAACCCTTGCTACAAGATCTAGCAAAGGTTTTACGAACCCTTGGACGAACCCTTGGCAAAGCTGCCCCTGCTACGTGTAGCAAGGGTTTTGAATGACCCTTGGTGGAAGTCCTATGCAAGGGTTATACCAAGGGTTTTGAACCCTTGCTACGTTAGCATGGGTTTAAAACCCTTGTTATGCGTAACTACAATTGAAAGGGATTATGGTCACTTAACTTACATTTAGCAAGGGATTTGAACCCTTGCTACATTAACATCTTTCGGGACGACATTCCTGTTACTAAAGCGAAGAATTTCCGTCACTAATGTCAGGATATTTCCGTCACTATATGTGAACTCGGATTGGGAATGTTACTAAAGCGAAGACATTCCGTCACTAATGTCAGGATATTCCCGTCACTATATGTTAACTCATATTGGGTTTTCTTTGTTCATTCCAAATGAGAGAACCACAAATTCAGTTTCCTAATGGTTCAACACCAAATAAATTGTAAATAGAAACAATAATACTTCAATAAATTGAAATATTCTTATTATGATATTCAATCACACCATATCCATACAATTAACTTCTCTAATGGTTCAACATCAAATAAATAGTAAACGAAAACAAAAAAAATTCAATAAATTGTAATATTCTTATTATGATATCTCAAATCCGACCAGAGCCCTCAGTTGTTTATTGCACATCCCAGGGCCATATGCTACAAAATGGATTCAAACAATTAGAACTCTTGCTGCATTTTTTCCAGCTGCAATGTTCTAGAATAAACTAAGGTCATTCCTTCACAAGAGATGTAACAATCCCCTGTCGTAAGTGTTCCAATTCTGTAGCAAACAAGCTAAATTTGACCAATTTAAGATAGTCCACAATTCTACATATTAAAGCACAAATATGTCCAAAATGCAGACAAGTTCTCGCCTTGAAAGTCTACTACACCAGAATACCAGTAGCATGCATCTTCGAAGCTGACTAACTAGAAACACATAATGCCCATACCAGAATCCTTAAAGTGAACTAAATCATGATAATATTGTATCACAAAGTTACGGATTGCCAATCACATGCAAGAGCTAATTATCTAGTGAACATTAAGCTACTTTGGCACTAACCCGTTCGTAAATGAGGCAGGCATGTAGTGATGGAATATTTACCTACCTTGCGACGGAGCCATTTAACGCCTCTGTCTTGAGCCCATATTCGAACAGTCGTAATGCGCATCGCCAAGGTTGATTGGCAGCTGATCAACACTTTTGAACCAAGTCCAATGATGGAAGAAAATTGAGCTAAATTCAACTGTGCATGATACAGACACTGAAAATAAAATGATGTGGTACAATTTATCCTATTTATGGGGGTATAAGTGTTCATGTGATTCACCAACCTGGCTTGCAAGTTCATTGACAAAGCTCGGGTCGGCCATAGGGTTTCCAAATAGACCCAGATTGAACTTAACCAGCAAAATCCTTCCAACAACATCTTCAACTCGATCCATTAGAATGACATTTTTCTTTACTAAGAGAGTAAGATCATCAAACAACTCTGTATGGTTGTAGGGAACCATGACCTGGGTACAATGAACCATCATTAGCAAATCATTCACTTCCGCCTGCTATTAATTGATGAAAAATAACTGAAAACATTTCCCTGCTAATCAATCTCAAGTGATATTTCTACAATCGAAACTACTAACCATATCAATGCCAGCTAGGATCCCTGCTTGCACAGTGTATATGTGTTTTGCATGCGGGTTTGAGGTAATCTTGTCTATACCTTGGCAATCTGAGACAACGAACCCATAGAAATTATCCAGGAAGGGAAAGTACAGTTAGCAAGAGCATAATGAAGTCAGAGCCATGATATCATATTAGTCATGTAGGCCTAGCCTGTGACACACAGTAAGATGAAATGTGAATCTCGGATACCACAAAGCTTGCTGCCCAGAGGCACGCCACATTAGCATCTATTGTATATCAATATGATATGGTGGCTAAAAAAATCATGAGAATGTAATGACATGTACCCTTGAGGAATCCCATTACTAGCTCTCGGTTAGCATGCATCTTTTTCCCATTCCAGCTGGAGTAAGATACAATGACAATTGATACGCCTTTGATCACAGAGAGTCAGGATTGGCAGACATGTGAATGCTTAACAGTCCATGCCTGTCTATTACCATATTGTTTTCATTGACGCCCTTGGTTGTTCCACCATCTCCCACAAAATGCTTAGCGCAAGCTGCAACTTTATTCCTGCAGCATAGGAACATCCATGTTAGAGTAAAGCTTAATGGGATATTGTAACAACTAATGCAATTCAAATTTATTTCACATGCTTTGTAACAACCATATTACATGATGCTTTTTTAAGAAAACGAATGAACCATCCTCAGTATCGGTAGTAGTATTGAATGGACAGAAACACTAATGATTTTAAAGTTTTTCTTCTACTCACTTTGGAATGACATAAGGAACTCCTCTTCGAGAATTAGAAGGAATATATCCTTGTAACCCAGGTATGATTTCAGTCATTTCTCCTTACAACTTTGGAATCCTCGTTGTAGCTCTCATAACCCAGGTATCAAATTTCTTAGATTCCTCGAACTTGAAACCATCTGCCATAATGCAAACAACAGAAGGAAGACAAATTCAGAACATTATAACACATCTAAATATAGTTTTGAAATAATTATATGAAATGCACGTCTAGATATTCAGTTGCAATGACTGGAACTTGCTCGCTAACAGTCTAATAACCCCATCTCTTCGCTCTTGCATTAGATACCCAGAGGAATAATAAGAAGTAGAAGCAGGGGAGAATGTACATATGCAGAGAGACTTTAACGAGTTGTATAAAAACCAGGTTCATATATTATATACTTTCTGATTGGACCATAGTAGTGAATAATCACTGATGAGGAGTGCCCTCCTAACATAGAACTGCACGTATATATGTGTGCTTCATCCTTCCTTCCTCGGCCTTGTAAGGATACATTGAGATCGATCTGATAGATGGAACCATCACATAAGAGCAAGAATCCTCCCCTCTGCCCCACTTTATCTCTTCCCTCACTACCCTACCACCATTTTATTGGCTTCGTAGATGGAGGGAGCTACTTGGAGAGAAGTGGATTGTAATAGTCAAAATCCATATCGAAGTCCAATACTACAACTATTCGATCAAGTCAACTGACTTGTTTAGAATCCTTTAGAAAAGAGATAGATTCAAAAGTATAAGGAGCTCGAATTCAGCACTACAATCCCTAAGATTGTATAGTGCATGCAGCCATTGGCACTACAATCCCTAAGAACGTCAAATCTATAACCTCATAGAGAAAGTCGAATCTATAACCTAACAGAGTTCGCTCTCTAGCGAGGGAGAGAGATAGAGAGAGAACGAGTGAAGGAGAGAGCGAGGAAATCAGAGAATCACCTCTCAATCAGAGCTAGTGTGGACAGAGGCCGCATAAACTTTCAGCCGGAGCAAGTGCCGAGGGAGACCGAATCGACGTCAGATCAAGTGCGGAGGGAGACTGAATCGAATCTCAGCCGGAGCGGGACTGACTTTCAGCCGGAGCGAGTGAAGAGGGAGAGCGGGATCGAATTTCAGCCGGAATTTGATTGACTTTCAGCCGGAGCGAGTGAGGAGGAGACCGGGATCGACTTCATCCGTTGATTTTTTTTTTTTTGGATCTAGTTCGTATTTTATATTTACAAAAAATCCTACCGCTTTGAACGAGCTCATTCCTTCAGTAATTTAGTTTAAGCCTAGCAGGGGTTCCAAACACATGCAACAAACCGTTGCTACAATAAATTCCGAAAATCATAACATCGGTTCCTAAACCCTTGCCGCTAAACCCTTGCCATAGGTCATTTTTCTTGTAGTGTAACCTCGTAAAATAGAGCTTCAAAGCTTACTAGAAGCCCTAGACAAAAGCCTCAAGCCTTAGTTAATATAAAGGAACCAAAGCATCCAAGAGGAAGGATATCCTTTCTTGATTTTCAAGTTTTGTTCATTATCTACATTTTTTCTAATTTAAGTTGAACGTAGGAGTGTAAATCAAGAGAATCAAAAGAAAGAGTTGGAATCAAAACCCAATCCTAGTAATTGTACTTATAATTAACCGGAGCATGTTTTGACATTTATAGAGTTAATGATACTATTGAGAAACTAACATATATTATTAACTATTCTGTTATATTAAAAATACTGAATAGACACCCAAAAAGAAAGGATATACACATAACACAACATCCATCAAGATAAACAATTGCACATACATTCACATAATTATTTCTAATTACTTTTATCTTAACCGTTCATCGAATCTCAACTCTCAACCCTTAACCCAACTTACCGATCCGCCACTTAAACCACTAAACCGGCCTATTTTAAGCATATACAGGTTCTTCTTGGCTGCACGCCTCCAATGTACCCAAAACACGGTAGTTTGAGTCAGCAGCAGCCCATCAATGCCGATCCTCGTGAGCCCAAAAATCCAAAACAAGAGATGAGATCGTTGATCCGAACAAGTAAAATCAAAGTCCGACACAAGGATCAATCAGACAATCAATCCCGATAGAAACGGATACGAAAGAGCAGCATGCTCGCCCATGCCCTCGCAGGTCCCGCCACACGACACAATCTCCTACATCACAGTTCATCCTATCTACAATACACCCGTCTTCCTGCTCCGTTGGTAGTTTTGCTCTTCTGCTCAACGACCGCATGATTTATTCCAGGGCCCGACTCTTCTTCTGCCTTGTTCGCTACCTTGACGCATATGATAACAGTCACGAGACCTTTCGTTTGCCTTCTACTAGGCGGCAAGCTAAGCAGATTACTTCGAGCGTTTTACAACCGAGGAGGCCAATTTTGGGGTCTTCATCCGCAAAATTACAAATTTCCAAACAAAGATGCCATCTTTATTACTTGATCCACTATAAATAGAAACCCGATTGTTAGCTTCTGGGTCACCATCTCCTTTCCTCCTTTATCGCTTTCTTTGATATATTTCTCTTCTTCTTCTGGGGTTGTCGATGGTCAGAGATCACAAAATGAACATCAGTGGTATTGCCAACTGTGTGTGGGTTTTGTCTGTAGTCTCCCTGTTGGTGGGTTCGGTGCAGGGGAGGAGATCGTTTGCAGCGGTCAAGAAGCCTGACCCGAAGAATGCTGCTGCTACAGCTCGTTGGTTGGTCTCCCAGAACTCCTGGGGAGTTCTCAAGTATATGCTTCTCCTGCTCTCTCATGTTCTTATTGGTTCTGATTAATTGGGTTTCTGTGAAATTGACGATCGATTCGCAAATTTCCTCTTGTTTTGACTGCAGTACTTTGTCAGCTGAGTTGGGTGGAGCTCCCTTCGGGTAAGTTCACTGGCTCTCCTTTCTTTGTTTTGAAATGTTGTTGGGTTTTTCCAAAATGGGTGATCAAAACATCTATGGATTAAGGTGGGACAATCATCGGTTAATCAATCATTTCCAAGGAACTTACGGAAGCATCAAGTTGACTTGTTTGCCTTTGTATGGGCTGATAATGATATATGATTTTGATGGTCAAGATAATGATATCCCTTCTCTCCTAAATGAATGCTTAAATCAATGTGTGAAGCAAAAGTTCATGACTTTGTAGGGACAGCAGCAGTATTTCTGCTTTCACCCCATACCACAAGCATATTACTTCCACTTAGATGCTTGAAAGTATGTAACTTTAGGGCTCAGGATTACTGCCTAGGCTTTGCTTGAGAAGCTGATATTTACCAGTCTGCAGTTTCTTGCAGTATAATCTTACTGAGTGTCAAAGGGCCAAAAGTTTTGCTATGGGCTTCCTTTTGGTGATCTTTTGACTGGGAGATTTTGTTGTTGTGCTCTCCAGGAATGTTGTTTCGTTTAGCGATGGAGAACCTGGCAAAGGTGCCGGAGTGCCATACTTCTATTTGACAACACTTGATCCAACTGCACAAAATGCGTTGAAAGACCAGAGGTCATCGTTCACCATCAGCGAGTACCCTTTGGGAACCTGTGGCAAGGCTGACCCTGAGAACCCTACTTGTGCCAAAATTACACTCACTGGAAAGGTATGCATGAGCTGCAATTGTCAAAAGTTGCTGCCTTTACTCCATCTGTTATCGACATTTGTAGTTAAGTTTGCACTAGCTTGAATTGATGTTGTCCTCGCTACATTGTGCCAGTTGATTTCTGTTGATGAGAAGTCTAAAGAAGCAGAATCAGCTCGAAATGCCCTGTTCGCAAAGCATCCCGAAATGAAGGGTATATAGTTGTTCTGCTGAAATTTTAGTTCCTCTGCTATTTCTAATCCAGCTAACTAGAATGATCAGAAAACCATTTTTTTAGCATCATCTGCTTACTCTTTGGTTTGTGCTATTGATGCTTGACAGGGTGGCCTAAGGGTCATGATTTCCAGGTCTACAAGCTGGTGATTAAAGACATATTCTTGATAGATTGGTTTGGTGGTCCTAAGCCTCTCACGGTAGATGAATACCTGAAAACCAAAATGTGAGTTCTGGGTACCACAGTTATGCTTTAGTTACTAGTCAAAACAAAGAGATGAATCAACAAGAAGTGTAATATATAAACACAAAGAGAAAAGGACGGCAAAACAAAACCAAGATAGAGAACCTACTCAAATGTAACATCGATCCGTTGTCTATAGCTAAATCAAAGATGAATAAAATTGTGGTGGTTTATTGAGCTATTTGTTTCGCTGGCTTGCTTCTCCCAAAATACAGGTCTCTTCCAACTTACAGGGACAAATCCGTAGACATTCTGTGATTTCTGAGCCCCATTCAGCATGCTCGCTACTACTGCTTCCACAGGGGATGTGATTTGGATATGGAAATGTGAATAAATGATGTTTTTTCATTGTATGTAAATCCTTTATCAGCAAGCGAACTGCTTGCTGCATCACATTGTGTTCAGCTGAAAAGCAACCAGAACAGTGTGAATAATTGGATGATGAATTTCTTCAAGTTTGTGGCATATAATTTCATCAATTTGTGTATGCATGTGGCCAATTTTCAGTCCTTCCTTATATGGTTTGAGATTGAATAGGGTTCTCTATCAGGAATAAGCTCTTCACCCAATATTGCTTTGCTTACAGGCTCAACCCTAACAGATTTCACTATACTTGGCATGAAGGTTTAGGTATCTAACCACGGATTTATTCGTTGTCGCAACTTCCGGAGATTTATTTATGTGATACACAGTGATAGATCATATTGGTGACTTGTTTAGTGAGATTGATTTCACGACTATATGGTTTCAGTAGACCTATATCATAAAATTATGGATGTAATTATATACTAGTGACAGTGTAAAACAATATCAATTTATGATTCTCCAAATTCCAGCCATGGCTAGTCTTTCATTCGCGCAGATATATAAAATGAAACGTGCAATAATCAATATACTCTGATGACTGATTTAGCCCGGAGGGAAAACTGATCAAGGAAATATCCCACCATAATTGACGCGGGAGAAGGATAGAGCATCGGCGAAGTGCCTGACTTTGTTAACGCTAAAACGGCTATCATCATCATCGTCTGCTTCTCCTTCCTCTATTGTGTTTTCGCTTCCTTTCGTCCATGAAATGCTTCCCCTTTCTTCCTCTTTCCCCTTAAAACCTCTCACTTCTCCTATCTTCCCATTTCCCATAACGCCATTTCTCCCGACTAATAGGCCCATCGGCAAGACCTTCGTCCGCTGCTCCTTGCCGTCTCCCCAGTCCCGGACCCTCCCTCAAACCGCCATCCAGCGCATCGCCGACAAGCTCCGCTCGCTCGGCTTCTCCGAGGATGACTCATCTTCCTCCGTCTCGAACCGGCAAACGAAGAATTCCAGTTCCAACCCGGGGGAAATCTTCATCCCTCTGCCCAATGCCTTGCCCAAGCATCGGGTGGGTCACACTCTGGACCCTAGCTGGAGCACCCCGGAGAACCCGGTTCCCACCCCCGGGTCGGGCAATTCGATTATCCGCTACCATGAGCTCAGGCGAGTGGCGAGGAAGGAGAAATGGGAGAAGATGAAGGAGGAAAGAGGGAAGGGAAAGATACCCACTCTGGCCGAGCTCAACTTGCCGCCGTCCGAGCGACGGCGGCTGACGACAATTGGGATTGCCGAGAAGAGGAAATTGAAAGTCGGGAAAGCTGGGATTACTGAAGGGATCGTTAATGGGATCCACGAGCGGTGGAGGCAGGCTGAAGTGGTGAAGATTGTTTGTGAGGATTTGTGTAAATTGAACATGAAGAGGACTCATGACTTGCTCGAGGTTAGTTGTTTTTTCTGTTAAAGTTTGTTCCTTTCTGAACTCATTGTCCTTGTTCTTCACTGTAACCAACAAGCTGGTGATAAAATGCTTTGATGGGCAGAGGAAAACTGGCGGCTTGGTGGTTTGGAGATCGGGAAGTAAAATAGTTTTGTATAGAGGTGCAAATTATAAGTATCCGTACTTCCTAGAAGATAATGAATCAAATGATGATGGAGAGACCAAGGAGAAATTGTCACCTGTAATGGATGGAAGCTCTGGCGGGAAAACTGCACCAGCTAATACGGTTCAGCGGAAGATTGTACAAGGTGTTGGTGTACCTGAGAGGGTAAGGTTTCAGTTACCAGGGGAAGCACAGCTAGAAGAAGAAGCTGACAGGTTATTAGAGGGATTAGGCCCGCGGTTTACAGATTGGTGGGGGTATGATCCACTTCCTATAGACGCTGATCTTCTGCCTGCTGTTGTTCCTGGTTACCGTCGACCATTCCGTCTGCTTCCTTATGGCATCCAGGCTAAGCTAACGAATGATGAAATGACCACCTTGAAAAGGCTTGGGCGACCATTGCCTTGCCACTTTGCATTAGGTTGGTTTTTGGTCAATTTCACATTTCGTTTGTTAAAAGCTTTGGTATTTACTATTTTCTTTTTGTGTTTAGGTAGGAACAGAAAACATCAAGGATTGGCTGCTGCAATAGTCAAGCTATGGGAGAAATGTGAGATCGCGAAAATTGCAGTTAAGAGGGGAGTGCAGAACACTAATAGTGAGCTGATGGCTGAAGAGCTGAAGGTTAGTTATGTGTCAGTTGAACTGCTTGTGAGGTTGACTTTCTTGAGGGAATGCACGTTCCAAATGAGTGAAACAAGGAGCTTACTGAGAATTATTTTTCTAATCGGAAGTATTATGGCAGTGGTTGACTGGAGGAGTTCTTCTTTCAAGGGATAGGGAGTTTATTGTGTTGTATAGAGGGAAGGATTTCCTTCCAGCTGCTGTTTCTTCTGCAATATCAGAGCGAAGAAGGCGGCCTGGAATCCATGGTGATGGGCCAAAGATAGTACAGAGTACACTAAGGCTCGATGAAAGTCCTAAAGAAGAACTTGAAAATGAAACTGATGATGGTGGTGCTCCCAGTGACCAGAGAAATTATGTACCTCAACGGCAGAAGCAAAGGTCGACTGAGGCAGCCATGAAAAAGACTAGCGTGAAGATAGCTGTGGTATGTTTGTTTCTCTCGTAAAGTTGCTATCATGACTTGATTTCAGGGAGGGATTTTATTTCACATTTTGACACATTTAACAGACATTAGAAAAGAAAGCAAAGGCAGAGAAACTTCTAGCAGAGCTTGAGGGAGCAGAGGAACCCAAACAACCTGAGGTGGACATAGAGGGTATCAGTGAAGAAGAGAGATACATGCTTAGGAAGATTGGCTTGAGGATGAAGCCTTTCCTGCTGTTAGGTGAGTTTAAGTAAAGAGAATACAAATAACTTGGCTCTCAAAGCTACTGCTTTTCATGTTGTTGGTTACAAGTACTTTTCACTCATTGTCAGGTAGAAGGGGGGTATTTGATGGAACGGTTGAGAACATGCATCTGCACTGGAAATATAGGGAACTTGTCAAGCTAATATGCAAAGAGAGAGACTTTGAGACTGCTCAACAAGTAGCGAAGACTTTGGAAGCTGAGAGTGGGGGAATACTAGTGGCCTTGGAAAGAGTTAGCAAGGGGCATGCTATCATTGTATATCGTGGGAAGAACTATAAACGGCCTGCTTCATTGAGGCCCCAGACACTCCTAAGTAAAAGGGAAGCAATGAAGCGCTCCCTTGAAGCTCAGCGTCGTGAGGTAAAAATAAAAATCTCGTGTGTGATATCCTGATCCTATCTTACCAACTTTGCTCAAGGATTAAGTTCAAAGATATAGGTTTGTTATAGATAAGCCAGTCAGAATCATCACATAGGTACTTGACATCTTATATTTAATCTCATTGATGTACGTTTCTGTCATGCAGTCTCTGAAACTTCATGTTCTGAAGCTGACCAGAAATATTGAAGACTTGAAAGATAACATGGTGAGCTATTATCTTGTTGCTTTCAGCGGGCTCCTCTTATGTAATGGAAGGTTTTTGTTAGCCATGAAGATTTGATATTTGGTGTCATTGTTCCAGTTCAAAAACATGGAAGAAGCTCAGGGTCTGGATTCACTTGACAGTTCAAGATGTGAGGTTGTTGTTTATCTATCTTTTTCATTCAGATATATTCGTGTGCATTCTCATGCAGACAGAAACCTGTATGATATACCTTTCTCTAGGAGTCTGAAATCCTCTGCTTGAAATCTAGGTTAAAGAAGAGCTAAATGTGGAGTCTGATTATCCTGATCAGCAGTCTGAACTAGTTATTCTAGATCATTCTGAAGAGAACGAGGTAAAGCTTCTCATGTGCATATTTGTGTGTGTTTCTCGTGCAGACAGAAACCTGTTAGATCCGTAAGGCATATCTCTCTCTAGGAGTCTGAAATTTTCTGCTTGCAATCTAGGTTAAAGCGGACCTGAACATGGGGTCTGATAATCCTGATCAGCAGTCTGAACTAGTTATTCTAGATCATTCTGAAGAGAACAACGAGGTAATGGTTTATGCCATCCCTGATATTTAACTGGAAAAGCTGAACAAAGTGAATGTCGTAATTAACTGTTCCTTCAGATGATGGAGAAGCGTGGAAGTGATTCAAACTTCTTGAGCTTAACGGATGGACTGGATGTGCTCTCTGATGGAATTTCAACTCAGCAGGCTATTCAGAATGAAGTTAGTCCAACAGTTAGTTTAGTCGAGACTGCAAGAAGTGATCCCGAGTCATTATTTCAATCATCTGATGAGCATGCACAAGGGAGACAACTAAGTGCTACGACTGATAGAGCTGTAAACTCAACCCCGTCTCACGTTTCGTTTATGGTGAGTTTGAGATCTTGTTGCCGTGCTATTATTTTCTCATCTTTAGCTTCTTCTGCTCATGCTGATTTCTTCATGTCTGGCAGTCAGAAAGAAGCCATTTTACTCCCAGTGTCAGGCTTGACCATACTCCTTCCAGTGCTGACTGCTCAGTTGGTCAAAACTTAAAAGATAGCCAGACAGGAACTGCAGCTTCAAGTGTAGTAAAAGGAAAGAATGAGATGATGCCTTCTTCTAGGGTTCAGCTTTCTAACAGGGACAGGCTTATCCTACGAAAGCAGGCTCTCAAAATGAAGAACCGCCCGGTACTTTCCGTAGGTGATTACTACTTCCTCTTGTTCTCTATTGCATTGAGTGACTATTACAAATTTCTTGCATTGCACGAGAGATATGTTGGGGCGTAATTCTGTTTCCTTCTTACTCTGCCAGGGAAAAGCAACATCTTAAGTGGAGTAGTCAAAACTATCAAGGCTCACTTTCAGAGGTATCCACTTGCTATAGTGAATGTAAAAGGCAGAGCAAAAGGAACTTCAGTCCAAGAGGTGGTTTTCCAGTTAGAGGTAGGTCTCCTCTGCAATCAAACTCAAACTGTTTCACACTGTGATGTTATAAAGTTCTTCCCTGATTTCGTATATCTAACTTGTGCAGCAAGAAACAGGAGCTGTGTTAGTGTCCCAGGAACCTAGCAAAGTGATACTGTATAGGGGATGGGGTGCAGAAGCAGAAGCAGGCGCTGTAGACAAGAAGAAGCATAAGAAGAAGAGTCAACCGAGTCAACGAATTGGAGACGTAAGTGATGATGGAGTGAGTAAGGAGACACGACCTGCTATTTCCCTGGAGCTTATGAAAGCGATCCGCCTGGAATGCGGGCTGCTGGATAGCAAGCAGAAACACAATTCTTACATTTGAAAAACCAGACGACTAGTTGGCTCGTGCGGGATGAGGGAACAGAAGTTACAAGCACATCAGCCAGCATAACCTGCTGGAGAGACCAATGACAGAAGAAAAGTGAAGAACTGAGGAACCAGACTATCTGAGAATTGCAGCTGGCTGGCAACATGGGAATATGGGATCCTCTAGAGAAACTACTTGGTAGGAAGACCATTGCTGAGGAACCTAAGCTGTGCCCTTGAGAGCAGAATTACTGCAAGTCTATGCAGTTCCTTTCATATACTCGAACACTAACAAAATGTAAAAGTAAAACCGTCTAATCCTATGGGCATGATCTAATTTGATTTCTGTAAAAAAAGTGGGAGTTGGTGGGGGGTGGGAGACGAACAGAATGTGGGAGAAGGTGGGGGAGGGTGATCAGTGACAGGGAAAACCCCACCAAAATGAATGGCAGACAGAGACTAAACTGCAATGCGTGCTTCTTCTCTGCACTCCTATCTTATGGATGGATCTGTCTTTTGGACCATTTTCCAGTGAAAGCCGGGGGGAAAGTCCTTTTTGTGTCATCTATCTTTGCATCTGCTTTGCAGCTTGTAGGACAGTCTTTCTCCTCATTTCGTGTATACTGTACATCTCTAGGACCCCTTCCCTCCGGCCATCAATCATAAACAAGTGGTGGGGGGAAAAGAATGTTAGAACAGAATTATGCATTCTGTTTTTGGATATGCTTGAACAAGTTTACCAGGAGTTTGGAATTTCTTTACATGTTACTACACTGAACTTCAAATTTGAGACCTCTAGGTGGAAAATCAGTGATGAAACTGTTGGATCGAAGTTTTATTCGTATGGAGTTTGAAATTTCACTGCATAAGATTTCTGCAATTTTTGTGTTGCGGCAAGCTGGTTGGAAACCATGTGTTCTCACAAGTTCGAACTTCGAATCCTCCAGCTCGAAGTATGAGAGCCAGTAAAAATCCATGAAATTTACAAGAGAGGAGAGGAGATGATGTGTTGGTAACAGACTGGATCCAACAGGTTGTATAGTTGTTCCTAGAGTCTTAATTATCATTATTACGGTTTTAATGATCCTCCAAAGTCCAAACCTCATGTGAAGAAGGCACAAAACATGAGCGTTACCCCACACAATTGGAGGGTCAATAGTATCATTAACTCTAGGGGTCGGATACTATGCCTACCCCCAAAGGGGTATGGTTTTTGACACCCCCTTTCTCATTGGTCAGTTTTTTTCTCAATCATTTGACAATTATTAATTACATTTGTTTTTTGTATTTTTTCATAATCTTGTAATTTGGGAAAGTTCTCAATAATAATTAAAAACTAATTGGGAAGGAGCAATCTTGTTGGATGGGGAAAGCGTCGATTGCTCTTCCAAGTCCAATATTCCCCATATTTTCTCCAAATAGCAATCCGACTCTCTACTCTGCAAAACTCGACGGCGATCGGAAACATCGGGCAGCGTCGCAGTGGGATCGCCTCCGACCCGCCTGGTGGGTTGCTCGTCGGAGGAGGAAGACACGCAGGGGATATCCCCGCCGCGCTTACAACAGGTCCAACCATCCATGTTGTCGGACGTCGGCCGTCCTCCGTCTTCTATCCCAAACATCACCTTCCAACGACTTCCTCTTATCCACGGCATGCACTTGATCTTTTCCTGTTGACCACCGTCCTTCCACGGTAGAGATTCGATCAACCCTAAGTGGCGGCGACAGGATCTGAAGGTGAGGGTGGTACCACTAGGCGGCAGAGGAAACGCACCAATGGACTGGTACATGTACCAGTGGAGTGGTACGTGTACCAGTAGAGTGGTACGTGTACCAGTAGAGTGGTACGTGTACCAGTGGAGTGATACGTGTAACCATATGTCCTGTTTAGGCTTAAAAAAATTGTGAAGACTTTATGTTTGTTCACATTCGAAGGATAATTTATTGCTTTTGGCATTGTTGTTGGCATTTCCCTGATTTTGCTACCTCAGCTACCTCAACTAAGAAATACATCGTCATGGAAATATTGTGGTCTCGACCGCTTTTGAAGTTTGGAATTGATTTTTTTTTTTTTTGTCGTAATTATTGGTTAACTTCTTTCAATGTCATGGAAATATCTTTGCCGACGAGTACTGACTTAGAAATGGTCTTCGCACAACTTCAGCGGTAATCATACTACTTCAGTGATACAATATACCACTGAACTTGTACTATACCACTATACTGGTATACATATCAATTAACTGGTACTTATACCCCTATACTGGTACTTATACCACTGAACTGGTACTAATTAAGACTGTCCTCAATAAACCAATACTCATACTTACTTGATCATGAAATATAATTCTGGCACAAGCAACACAATAAACATTTCAATCAGTCAACAAAATAGGAACTTTCCATTAGTAGCCAAAAACTGTGTTCCAAAATGGGTTGCAAAATCAGGGAAATGCCAACAACAATGCCAAAAGCAATAAATTATCCTTCGAATGTGAATAAACATAAAGTCTTCACAATTTTTTTAAGCCTAAACAGGACATATGGTTACTAGTATCACTCCACTGGTACACGTATCACTCCACTGGTACACGTACCACTCCACTGGTACACATACCATTCCACTGGTACATGTACCAGTCCACTGGTGCGTTTCCTCTGCCGCCTAGTGGTACCACCCTCACCTTCAGATCCTGTCGCCGCCACTTAGGGTTGATCGAATCTCTACCGTGGAAGGACGGTGGTCAACAGGAAAAGATCAAGTGCATGTCGTGGATAAGAGGAAGTCGTTGGAAGGTGATGTTTGGGATGGAAGACGGAGGATGGCCGACGGCCGACAACATGGATGGTTGGACCTGTTGTAAGGGCGTCGGAGATATCCCTGCGTGTCTTCCTCCTCCGACGAGCAACCCACCAGGCGGGTCGGAGGCGATCCCACTGCGACGCGACGCTGCCCGATGTTTGGGATGGAAGACGGAGGATGGCCGACGGCCGACAACATGGATGGTTGGACCTGTTGTAAGGGCGGCAGGGATATCCCCTGTGTGTCTTCCTCCTCCGACGAGCAACCCACCAGGCGATCCCAGGGAGAGAGGAAGAGATGTCTAGGAAAGATAAAAGGGGGAGAGAAAATTCTTACTACTTTTGAATTGGCAGGGAAACCAAAAGGCAAATTAATGCCCTCGATTACCGTCCCAGTTTCCCTAATTAATATGGGTCAGACAACTAAAATATGTAATTAATACCTAATTATCATCTTTAATTTTCTCACCATTGGATTACTACTAATGGACATCAACGACTACTAAGATGGGTGTCAAAAATCAGACCCCTCTAAAGGGGTAGTCATGCTAACCGATCCCTTAACTCTATAAATGTCAAAACATGCTCCGGTTAATTATAAGTACAATTACTAGGATTGGGTTTTGATTCCAATTCTTTCTTCTGATTCTCTTGATTTACACTCCGACGTTCAACTTAAATTAGAAAAAATGTAGATAATGAACAAAACTTGAAAATCAAGAAAGGAGATCCTTCCTCTTGGATGCTTTGGTTCCTTTATATTAACTAAGGCTTGAGGCTTTTGTCTAGGGCTTCTAGTAAGCTTTGAAGCTCTATTTTACCGAGGTTAAATGAACTCTTTTCAACATACATAAATATGTGTCTTTAATAATTTGTATTTTAGAAACAACATGCCTAACAACATCTACTAACTTTTGAATAAATGTCACTGAAGAATTCAAACCCTAAATCATGCATTCATCTAATTATTCCCAACAACTATACAAAAATAGGAGTTAATTAGTACCTTTATCATTCAATCATCTTTCGAAGGCTTTCAGCAATGTTTTAAACCAATTAGAGTTCTTTCTAACACTTTCACCAATACTTTAACCAAAGCTCTTGTTTTTTTTTTTTTTTTACCACATTAGCAATATATCTTAGCATCGATTCATGCAAATCCACATACCCCTATGAGGATAGAACTCACGGTACATATGGCATATGTTACACGTAACTTTGGAGCAAGGGGTAAAAAAGGAGCGCATAATTTTTCATTCGTAAGAGAAGACAAAGCATTTTGGAAGAACAAAAAGGACTTTTGGATGTTCCACTCCATCTTTTCTTTCTTTCTTCGATGCAAAGAAAGAAAGTTGCAGGAAATAAAGCAAAAGTGATCAATGAAAGTAGTAGTAGCTAGGGTTTCCATCTCTATATCTCACCCGCTGGTCGCTGCATAATGTAAGGCACAAACACGGACGAGCGGCTGGACACAATGCCCAACCCTAGGCCGATAACAACGAGCTCGTTCTTGTGCATGCTGACGAAGTGATGATGCAGTTATGCGGGTTAATTTAATTATAAAAATATTGGCACAAATAACTGTATTTTTAGGATTTTGTTCTCAGTGCATTCATTTTTTAAGAAATTTTTAATTTTAGAATTTAGTAAACATTTATGTCGAAACGATGTCAATCGTCATTTGTGATGGAATGGACAAGAAAATACACGAATTTGCACACAAATCATTCGAAATTTACTTTGATTTCAAGTATTTAGGGTTGGGGTTTAAGGTTTATACAATTTGGGGTTTAGGATTAGAGTTCAAAATTGAAGGTTTAGGAATTAGGGTAATTCATGATTAGTTGTGATCCTATATTATATCATCATATTAGACTAATGTTACAAATCAAAATTTGATGTCTTATGACTAATGTTAGAATTGGGTGCATAGTATGCACTCATGTTTGTGAGTGCAACATAGAAGCTACGTGTATAGTACTTATTTCATTAGTTACTATAAAGATATACTTGTGTTTCCTACTTTGAAATGCATTGCATTTATTTATCTAGTGATGCAATTGGTAGAATAGAAGTTTCTGTGTATTGGGCGCAATGCAGTCAAAATCGCATTTTAAAAGTTAAAAATCTCATTTCACCCATAATCACTCGTTTTAAATTTCAACAAAAAAGTGAAATTCTTCCTATGAGATTGTGGGTTTTAATTTGTTTCACTTTTAGCTCATAAAGTGATTTTTTCTTTTCTTCAATTTTTTGAGTTGCTACAAACAAACGATACATTCTTCCAATAATCTAATTCTTATAATCTTTGTATTTACAATACATCTATTCATTGAATACACATAATTGAAAAATCTCAACCTCCAAACGACTCCGTAGTACTACACAAATGATCGAAATCATAAAGGGGTCGTTTGGATGGGTTAATTGTCAATGTGGTATTTGTAGTGTCAAATAACTCATTTATTGCTCATGTGGTATTTCAGTGTTATTTTAGTGGTAATTGAAATAAAGTATCTCGTTTGGTTGAACCATGCAAATGTGGTATTTGGTAAAAACTTAGTGATAAAACGAGTTATTTCGAAATAACACATGAGTATAAATTATTTCAAATAATTCGTTTTGAGTTATTTGTAAATAACTCACTGTCCAAATAATTCATTTCAGTAAAACGCTGTCAAACGAGTTATTCAGATCCTATGGATGAACTTGCACATATTGTCTGAATAAAGATGATAAATCTTTAGTGAAATTTTCAGATTGCATAGTGAATTGATATTCAACAACTGATACTTTAAGATCACAGTAGCTATGAACTTGCACATATTGTTATCGATAAAAGGGGTCGTTTGGATGGAGTATGAGTTATTTGCATCCAAATAACTATATTAGTTATTTGGATGCAAATAACTCATACTCCATCCAAACGACCCCTTTTATCGATAACAATATGTGCAAGTTCATAGCTACTGTGATCTTAAAGTATCAGTTGTTGAATATCAATTCACTATGCAATCTGAAAATTTCACTAAAGATTTATCATCTTTATTCAGACAATATGTGCAAGTTCATCCATAGGATCTGAATTTGCTACCTACGGTCTAGTATTAAAAACACATATTAATGTTTGTCCACATGATGAAAAAGTGAGAAAAGGAAAGAAGGTCGGGAGGGAAGGAAGAATGCCCTAATTAACGAGGTGGGAGGTGTGTGAGTGTGATGGTGATGATGACCTCCAACACATACACACACGTATCCATCATCATTCTCTGTAGCGTTTCTCCCTCTCCGTCTCTTCCTCTCTGACACCAGTAGTACTACCAGCTGGGAGAGGAAGGAAAGCAGGCACAGAAAACCTTAGAACAATAACATTTTTATATGATTTATAAAATGACAAAAACATTAAAAAGTTCTGTTTATATTTTACCGTCCGGCCCTGTTTTTTTTTTTTTATTGTTTCCCCTTTCCTTTTTGGTGCATTTCTTTCTTTCAACGCCATCAGCCTTATAGATAAGCACACATTGCTAGAAAGAGAGGGAGAGAGAGGGGAGCAATGATAATGTTTTGTCATCATCGTTCTTCCACCACCACCATCACCACCATGCGCTCTTCGTCTTCTTCTTCTCCTTCTGAACCAACCTCTCCATCGCCATCATTACACCCACCACCACCAACTCCTTGTTTCTCATGCTTCTTCTCCTTCATCATCATAGCCAAAAGATCATCATTACCCTTCTTGGCCTTGTTACCAAGGACCAGAAAAAAGAGGGCCAAGGAACAAAAAAAAAAAAAAACAATAAAGATCAATCCCAGCCGGCCCTCCAACCCAGCTTTAATCAGCTAATATGTAGCTCTATCCAGCACTCTTTGGTTGCTGCTGCTGCTGAGTTCTCAGTTCTCATCAGCTCTCAAATCCCACCTCATCATCGTCAATTGCTACCTAGCTAGTTGAAGATTTTGAAAGAGAGGAGAGAAAGCTAGCAAACTATATATCTAGGGAGGACGACTACTACTCCTTGATCCGTCCATCCATCTTCTCTCTGCGCGCAACAGACAGATAGATTAGCTGGCTGGCTGGCTGGAGGAAGGCCAGATTGGTTAAAAGCCAAATCATCAAAGGGGAATCAAGCATCTCGGTCCGATATCAACTACTGTTACTCTTTATTTCTTTGTTTATCTACACTCGTAATACTACTTTGTTTCGATCTGCTGCTTTTTACTTCCATAGCTAGAATCATCAGTAGTATACTAGCTAGTTATAAGTTTCCGCGCTGCTCTGGAAAAGGGTTTGCTGTTCTTTATATTTCTATTAATATATTCTGTTTCACTCTTATCTGTGTAAGTTTCCTTGGTATGATCCGCAGCTTCCTAGCTGGGTGTAATATTATTGTTTTTTTGCTTCATCAAGGATGGCCGCAGCTTGTTTTTTCTTTGAGTACGTAGTTAGGTGAGAACGGATGGAGAGCTGCTAAAGTCTTCAACTTTCAGTTTCTGTCCCTTTCTTTTTTCTTCGCATTAATTCATGTGCTAGCTGTTGTTTAATTTTGGGGGGTACTCAATCTTGGTCTCTTCTTTCTCTCTCGTACTAACTAGATCTGTTCATGATCCATCTCTTTCACTATGAATGAATACAATCATTATATACAGAACCGTAGCTAGTAGTTAAGTTGCTGTTTTTTTCCAGGGCAGATCTGCAACTTCATCCATCTCCTCCAGAGAAAATAAGCCCTCAGAATTAACTGCTTCATCCTTGTATATGTATTAATATGCATGCCCAGATTAGGGTTTTGGATATTACTACTTCTGCTGGATTTCGTTTTAATCTTCCCGAGTCACGATCAGAGATCAGATTACCTTAGTTACCCTAATTATATAATAATAATCTTTGGCCTTACCCCAGCCAAATGAACGCTGGTTTCCTTCAATTGTCAAGACAAGGAAGACGTACCAGCCAATTAAGGGTTTGAGCTAGTGCCCATTTATAACTGGTCTCTTTCCTCTAATTACCTAGATAGGTACGCAAATGCCCTAATTGCATGTATATGTACGTACGCTTGTGGGGAAATTAATTTCTGGTAGCCTGGCCTTCGCCGGCCATGCTTCCTTGCTAGAAAGGGCAGCATGCGCGCAGTACTGTATCCAAGTGACATATCCCCACAATTTTAATTTGGTAATGCTGACTTCAAACCACTACGATCACCATGCACGCCTCCGACTTATTTAATCCTTTTTCGCACCAATCTTGTACAATAACTCATGGCATAATAGATGGTATTAGTCATATATTAGTACTAGACCAATATTTGGAATTCTAGCTAGTTTGATTGTCATTTTGATGTTCATTGATCCCATTACTTTAACCGCGGATTAATAACATGATTATTGGTGGTATATGTCCACAAATCATTTCATAACTTAAAAGGATCTACGAGACACATCTGACATCACACATGTATTTGCTATCTTTTAACTTAAATTTGACCTACCAAACAAACGATTTCAACCATTGAACTCATTTGAAGAAGGGAATGAGGGTCGGGTATAGTAGGGTTGGTTTGCTGCAATTTGGGCTATTCACCCACTATATTGCTAGGCCCAAATCTGTATAAACGGGCCTGGACTCGCTCGCTGCTTGATATTTCCCAACAACGAGTGGTGGTGACGCCCTCTGATGTCAATATCAAGAACTCCAAGCATAAATATCACAAAAATAAATTCATATTTAACATTGAAAAACAATAATCGTATGCTTGATCGAATCAAATAGCGACACAGTGAAAAATTCACATATAAGGAAAAAGGAAAATGAAAAGCAAAAATAATTAACCAGAACAAGCGCCTGCTGCTACTGTCTCTCCGAGATTTGAGGTCACTCCATTTTGTGCTGAGCTGCGAAACTCTTCCGCCATGACTCTTCAAGCCGCTTCTTGCAGCTTCGCCGGCGTTTCTTCCTTCGCCTCTCCGCCTACAACAGCCCCCCGCCGTCATCGCCACCATGCCCGCACCACCGTAGTTCGCGCCGAAGGTTATTTTACTGAATTCTCCTGCTTATACCCGCATTTCCTTCACGCATTTGCACTGAGCTTGCTTTGCTGGTTTAGCTGTGGATCCCGCGGATAAGTCGGTCGAGATAATGAGGAAGTTCTCGGAGCAGTACGCCCGTAGGTCGGGGACTTACTTCTGCGTGGATAAGGGAGTCACTGCCGTTGTGATTAAGGTAAGTTCTTCATTCCGATTCTTCTCTGCCGGTGGTTAAGGTTTTAATCTTAATCGAAAGTATCAGGAGAAAAGATAGTTGATTGAATTTGATTGTTGACCATGGGATTCGCCGAATTCCTGAGATATTTTGGAGCTGTTGTTGTGAATGGGGGAATGAATGTGGAATTGTTCTTGGGATTTTGACAGGGATTGGCGGAGCATAAAGATTCATTGGGTGCGCCTTTGTGCCCTTGTCGGTAAATATTGTTCAGTGTGTATGAATATGGGGGTGATGTCAATTTGATGGGGATTCAGTCGAGGGAAGTCTTTGTATTACTATGTTCTGAAGTTTTAAATCCATGGTTTGTAGGCATTATGATGACAAAGCTGCAGAAGCAGGGCAGGGATTTTGGAACTGTCCTTGTGTCCCCATGAGAGAGAGGTAGGCTTTCTGGCCAAGTTCTTAATGCATAACCTCGCTTTTTCCAAGATTCGTGATGAACCGGGGAAGTTTTAGGTCTTGAGAAGTTTATTCGTTTTGGTTGAGGATTTTTTTTTTCCTGGAACTTCGTGACAGAATTCTATTGTTGTCTAGTGTGCAAGTGTTCTCTTTTCTTGTATGGACTGAGGAGAGAACTGTCTTGAAATGCTGAGTTACCACTATGGTATAATCAGATTCAAGTACTGGAAGAGGGTGGCTTATTTCATGTGAGATGCCACATGGATTCTGCCTAACATATTGTTAGTTTCCTGTCTCATGCTAATGAAGGGGAGGGGAATGTTGTATATGTGACATTACAATTTCATGATTCTGTACTTTGAAGAGACGATGGTGAAGGAAGACTCGTTCATTATCTGTTTGCTTGCACGTGGCGATAGTGACAGCTATAAGATCAGTGGTTGATAAAATTAAAGGAGAGATTTAGACCGCAAAGACATTGCTTCTCATTTCTTGCTGTTGTTCAAGCCCTTCTCATTTCTTGCTGTTGCTTCTTAAAAGTAATAAATATGTTCAGAATGGCTTCAAAGCTGTAACTGGGTAAGATAGTTCGGTTGGGAAACTAAGAAACCTAGTGTTGCTGTGGCAGATCTCGAGAAGTGGGGTGAAGATTCAGTAAAACAGGATAATGAGTTGTGAATTTGCTGAAGGTCCAGACTGAAGCTGATTAGGGTATGAAAGATTGTAATGTGGGATGAAGAGTAGTCATTATCTTGATTTGATCTTGAGAAGTGGTTTTCAGTTGATTTTGCTTTTTGTGCACTGCCTATGAGTCTAGGACATCCCTATAAAGTCTTCGTGATTGAGAATGCTAGTTTCCTACCAAAACTGACATCTTCAAGCTTGAGCTTTGGTTGTCACTGCTTGATGGCTGATGCTGGAGTTTTCTTTGTTTGGCTTTAGGTAAAGATCGACTTGTTTTACCAGTGAATGTAAGTGATATGGCTAGTACAAAAAAGCAAAATGTTTATCTGCTTTCGCAATCCGAATCCATCTGAGACTTGTCATCGAATTTCTGTTTTGTCCCATATTCCTGCACAGTTTCTACTATTGAAAGAATCACACATTATCTGTAGACTAGTGAAGAAATATGCCATTTATGGAAGCTTGTGATTTCTGTCTTTCGGGGAGAAGACAGCTATGTGATTGCTAGCTAGTGAAGTTGCTAATCAGCGAAACCAGTTGCGCCTTCTGAGCCCAAGAACAGAGCATTCTTTAGGAAGGAATAAAATCCAAATAATATTCAGCTAGTGTCTTATTAAGTTTATGATGATACTCCCTTCTGTGCTTTAACTGTAAGATGGCTATTGCAGGAAGGAGTGTCATTGCATGCTTTTTCTCACCCCAGATAATGATTTTGCCGGCAAGGATCAGGTAATTCCAGATCCCTTTCTTTAAACCTTGGCCCTCCTTTCTTGTAAAGCAGGCTCATCGACACTTGATGATAAGCATGAGCATGACTTCACAACTGTGGATGGTTTACCCTACATGCTGGTTTTTGCTCGTCGTGCAGGTGATCACCTTGGAGGAAATCAAGGAAGCAACAGCCAATTTCTAATCTGATTCGCTTAGGGATATCGATATGCGAGTAATGTGAAAAAGCTGACCGCACTTGTCATTATATTGTATACGAGTATTATACTACTTGTTATGAGAGGAGCAATGTAGATTGTATGGCCACCTAATGCTTGTATTCAATTTCTCCTGCATCTCATTCTTTCACCCCTTTCTTTCGGTTTTGCTCCTGCTGGAATTGGGGAGGCGCAGTCTGGCAGTCGAGTTCTTGTCCAGTACCAGAAATGCCAAGTTATGGTGCCTTTTGCCCTTGGTGGATGTGAATAGTTCCTCAGTTTGATGAATTCAAACTGAGAAAGGAAAAATAAGAGAACGACTTCTCTCGCCTCATTGTACAACATGAGTTGGAATACACAATTATCTTTAACAAGGATGAAATTCAAACTTCTGGGCTTGGTTACATGGACTTGTCCATTCTCTACTATTCAATACTAGTGCTCCTTGGGTGATAGGAGGTTAAAACTTAAAAGTTGAGAAAGGTTTATGTGTTCGGATGTGTGATTCAAATAGAAAGGAAAATACTTTTTAGAGACAAAACACTGACGAATGAGATCGTTAATGAGATTTAACTATTGGTAAGACGATTCGGCTATTACTAATAGTGAAAGAGGATGTGTGATTAATATATCCACTTCATAATGAAAGTATGATTTAAGAGAAGTTGCAATAGCGGAATATGAGTAAAGCCACTGAGGAGAATTAAGATAGAACTTGTCAAAAAACAAGCAAGGCGGAACTAACAAGAAATTGTCTTGGCTCTTGGCTATATTTTGGTAGCATCTATGACCTTTTTCTTATTGAACTTCTGTCACGAGGAAATTTGTTGTCCATGTCAACTTGATTTCAAGATGCAATCATTGAGAGTAATGTTGTGACGATAGTTATGTGTCTCTAGTGTTCCATAAATATGAATCATTTGGTGGTTCTATTATTTATCACGTTCAAAATCTTCCGAGTCCTCCATGAAACATATTGTGAGAAACATAATTGTTGAGAGTCTATTTGTTATTTGCGTATTATTCGGATAGTGTCAGGTAGGGGAATTGTGAGGGTTCATTCGGTTAGGTTTATTATTCGGGTAGTAAACAGTAATTAGTCGGGTTATATATATATGATGTTATGTTAGGTCAAGGGCAAGCAATAATACAGAAATTGTTCCCAACTCTCTCTCTCTCACCTCACCTTGGCCGACCCCTTCCTTCCCCTCTCACCATCGGCGGTTTCCTCACCCAGGAACCGATTCTGCTCTCTCTCTCATCCCAAATTTTCCTTTCTTTCTCACCTAAATTCCCAATCCCTAATTCGTTAATCCCTAAAATCGCACGCCTAGATCCGTGGTTCTCACAGTGGTATCAGAGCCTGGCTGGCGTGTTGATTATTGAGCTGCAGGAATTGAGATGTCGAACATGGACAAACCGCAACAGCAGAAACTGGGCAAGGAGATCGTGACTGTGAAAGACATCACAAATAACAAGTATGACGCGATCGTGACGACGCTGGAGAGCCTAACGGAGTCCACAGAACGAGCTGCTGCCGCTTCGCGAGACTCAACCGAGGCCCTAGAGGCGTTGGGAGGGCGGATTACTTCCTCGATTGAGGAGATGGGTAAAACTGTGACAGAGAAGTTGTGCCAGGCCCTAGCTGACACAATGAAAGAGGTCTTGATCGGAGTATTTCAAGGCAAGGAGCCAACCCCAGGAAATCGGCCGGAGGCGGTGGAGAAGATGGCGGAGGCTGTGTCCGGGGCGGCCGCGAAGACGGAGACCGGGCCGCCAGGAGCTACGGCGGGCGCGGGCGGTGGCGAGGCAGGAGGCTCGGCTGGAGCCTCGGCGGCGGCGGCGGGCGCGGCTGGAGCCTCGGTGGCGGCCGCGGGTGGCGCCCCCATGACGGCAGCGGCTACGCCGCTGGGGACTGCAGGCGCATGCGACCGGGGAATCGCGGCGCAGGGAGGAGCGGCCGGCGGTGGGGCGAGAACGATGGCGGCGCGGCCGCCAAGGCTGACCGGGAGAGGAGGCGACCAACTCGGCGGGCCCAGACCAGCCGGGGGAGCGGGCAGGGGAGATCGGTCCGCGACAGTCTTCAGTGGGCCGGGCCTGCTTCCTGCTCCAACGGCCCAAGAAATTGCGGAGGCCCGCAGAAAGAAGAAGATGGTGGAGTTTGAAGAATTGAGCCCGGACTATGAGGAGATGAGCTTCGCGGACGAGGAGGAGTGGGAGATGGGCCCTGGGCCCGATCAGAATTGGGTGGCTGAACCCATGATGGACCAAACCGGTCGACCGGTTTGGTCGTTGGCCGGCCGGACCAGTTACGTTCGGACCGGGATCGGTCGAACCGAAACGGGTTGGGTCGAACCGGGACGCGGGCCGATGGGCAGCGACGGTTATGGGCCGGGAGGCGGGCCTGGTCGCGAGAGGCCGGGTCCCGAGGCTGGTTACCCGCCCTGGGGTACTCCGCGGGCCGATGGCGCGCGACAGGGGCGCAGGATGGAGGAAGGACAAGGGTCCAGAGTTAAGACCGGGGCCGGGGAGGAATATCAGCAGGAGATGGCCGACTGGGCCTACTCAGGGAGGCAGAACGCGGGTCCGGAGTACCGACACGGGTCGGGTCACTCGATGCAGCCATCAGGCGATAACAGGTACGGATACAGCAACCCTCTGTATGACTATGAGGATGAACTGGTGTTCAGAGCTAAACCTCCGGTTATTGAGTTTCCGAAATTTGATGGCACGGGTGATGTGGGATTATGGTTGTATGCGGCGGAGAGGTGGTTTAGGAACCACCCGATTAGAGAGGAAAGAAAGGCGCATCTGGCGTCCTTCTATTTGGAGGGGGATGCCCTCCAGTGGTGGGAGTGGACTAAGCGGGCATATGCTGCAGCAGGTGAGAGAATCTCATGGGCTCGGTTCCAGGATGAGCTCCGGTACCAGTTCGGCAGGGCGGAAGGCTGGGCACCGGAGCAACTGGCCAAGCTTAAACAAACAGGGTCGGTCGCAGAGTATCGGGCGGAGTTCTTGAAGCTGGGAAATCAATGCAAGGAGATGACCGAGGAAACACTGGTGGGGCTGTGCATGGCGGGACTGAGGCCCGAGCTGGCCACTGCGGTCAAGGTCTTTGAACCTGAATCTCTTTGGGTGGCTTTCAGACTTGCAGGGCGGAAGGAGGAGGAGCTAGCAAGCTGGAGATCCTCTGTGGGCAGGATGCATAAGGCCAGTGGTGGAGTGGGTGGCGGCGCAGGTACTGGGGCGGGGGCATCGGCAGCAACACCAAGCCCTCCAGCGGCAGGGACCACTGTCGGAACTCGATTTCCGGCCAGAGCACCACCGCGCGGGTTCTTAAGGCTGACTCAGGCAGAGATGGATCAGAAGCGCCGGGACGGACGTTGCTTCAACTGTGATGAGAGATATACTGTGGGCCATCAGTGCGCCAAGAGTCACCTAATGCTGCTAGTCGGAAATTGGGAGGATGAAGTTGAGGAAATGAAGTTGGGTGCGGAAGGAGAGGACAAGAAGGAGGACGGCAAGACCCATGGGCCACCTTGAGGGCAAGGTGGGTTTCAAGGGGGATGGATTGTGAGAAACATAATTGTTGAGAGTCTATTTGTTATTTGCGTATTATTCGGATAGTGTCAGGTAGGGGAATTGTGAGGGTTCATTCGGTTAGGTTAATTATTCGGGTAGTAAACAGTAATTAGTCGGGTTATATATATATGATGTTATGTTAGGTCAAGGGCAAGCAATAATACAGAAATTGTTCCCAACTCTCTCTCACCTCACCTTGGCCGACCCCTTCCTTCCCCTCTCACCATCGGCGGTTTCCTCACCCAGGAACCGATTCTGCTCTCTCTCTCATCCCAAATTTTCCTTTCTTTCTCACCTAAATTCCCAATCCCTAATTCGTTAATCCCTAAAATCGCACGCCTAGATCCGTGGTTCTCACACATATGCTACATATTTAGCTATTATCATGATTCCAAAAATATTGTTCATGTTGTCTCAAATTAGACGTGATTTCAACCTTGATTTATAATCTAGTTCCTAGCTTATTCTTTTTGGTATATTGACACACATTTTCTTTTCTGACGTAGTCGTTTATGGCTATTTATTTATTTTCAAGACGTTTATTATTATTATTATTATTTGATGGTTACATCGTTTATTAATTTCTTATCACAAATCATCGTTCAAAAGTAGTTGTTCAAGTGATCTTCTTATAAAAAACAAAAAAACAAGAGTACAAGACTAGGGATGGCAATGGGTCGGGTTGGGTCGGGTTTTGCTAAACCCAAACCCAAACCCATGGGTTTATCCGTGAAAAAAACCCGGGGTAAAACCTACTGGGTTTGAAAAACTCAAACCCAACCCAACCCGCTGGGTATCCGCGGGTTCATGGGTACCCACGGGTTTTTGTCGTAAATAATTTACAATAACAAATTCCTATCAAAATTAAAGTCAAATATCAATCTCTCAATACAAATTATCCATATAAAAAACAACATTCTAGAAAATTCAAGCAATTCACAAATTAACTATACAAATTGTTCAACACCAATCTAGAAAACTCAAGAAAATTGAAGCAAATCACAAATTATCAATAAATAACATGATTAATTGAAAGCTTCTTCCTTTCAATTAAGTTTCTTCACTCTCCACTCGATAACATCAACTTCATTCTACACAATTATAAAAAAAATTGACATGTCTCCACAAACATAAATAAGATTAGTTGTTTAGAATATTAAATATATCGAGAAAATTAATTATATGGGTGTGGGCGGGTACCCATGGGTCGGATTTACCTAAACCCAAACCCAACCCAACCCAGTGAATAGTGAACGGGTTTAAACCCAAACCCGGCCCAAAATCCATCAACACGGATTTTACCCGCGTTGACCGAGTTGGGTCGGGTGGATACTCGTGAGTTCGGGTTTTATTGCCATCCTAAGACGGTACCGGGCTTCTTTCTTCGAGCCCGGAATGCAGACCTCAAATGAGTTGGGCTTGGGTATCATCTTAACCGGTCGAGAGAACTAAGTCTAACCATATGATACGGAACGCGATCCGGTTAATTATTTCTTCCCGGCCGATTTGCTACGGGAGAATGGCACGGCACAAGAAGATCGGAGCACGGCGTAGCACATTCCGAAGGTAAATTGTCTCATTCCACCGAAGTGGCGCCTGCGTAGAGTTCCACAGCAGCTCCTCCGAGCAGCCTTCAAAAACAATGGCAACTTTAGTTCTTGCGAGCAGTGAATTACGGTTGGTTCATAGCATCTGTGGGGTGGTGGTAAAGGGATGCTGGGGCAATCTCCTGAAACCGAAGATTGACACTAATCTCACTGCAATTAGGCTCCGAGAGGTACTCCTGCAACTCTCTGCGTATAGCTACAGTCCCTGTCTTGCTTGGGAGTTGTTTCGGTGGATTGAGTCGTCCATTCCGAACTATAAGCACCCCGTACAATCCTCATGGACTATGATACACATATTAACCAAGCACAAACACTTCAAGACTGCACACCACCTGCTCGAGAAAATAGCTTACAAGGATTTCTTGTCGAGCCCTTCTGTGTTAACTGCTTTGGTGAGGACTCATGATGACAAGGATGTGAATTCCCACGTTTTGAGCTGGCTTGTGATAGTGTATGGCAATTCCAGGATGACCCACGAGGCAGTGCAGGTTTTCGAGCACATGAGGGCCAGTGGCTTCAAGCCGCATTTGCATGCCTGCACCGTGTTGTTGAATGCTTTGGTTAAGGATAAGTTAACTGATATGGTGTGGAAAGTCTATAAGAAAATGGTTAAAGTTGGTGTAGTCGCCAATGTCCATGTTTTCAATGTGTTGATTCATGCTTGTTGCAAGTCTGGAGATGCGGAGAAGGCAGAGAAGTTCTTGACTGAAATGGAGTTGGATGGTGTTTTTCCTGATCTTTTCACTTTCAATACACTTATTTCCTTGTATTGTAAAAAGGGGATGCACTACGAAGCTTTGTCCGTTCAAGATAGGATGGAAACGGCTGGGATTTCTCCTGATATTGTTACTTATAATTCTCTGATCTATGCATACAGTAGAGAAGGTAGAATGAGGGAGGCTATGATGCTTTTTAAGGAAATTAAAGATGCAGTCCCCAACAATGTGACTTATACTACTTTAATTGACGGTTATTGTAGGTTGAATGACCTCGAATCAGCCTTGAGTTTGCGATACTCCATGGCTGATAAAGGGATCTATCCCACAGTTGTCACTTATAATTCAATTCTCCGCAAGTTGTGTGAGGGAGGAAGGATAAGGGATGCAAATAAACTCTTGACCGAGTTGGGTGAAAGAAATATTGAACCAGATAATGTCACATGCAACACCTTAATCAATGCGTACTGTAAAATAGGAGATATGGCATCGGCTTTGAAGGTGAAAGACAAGATGATTGGAGCAGGTTTGAAGCTTGACCAGTTTACATACAAGGCATTGATCCATGGGTTCTGCAAGGCACGAGATATGAAATGCGCTAAAGAGTACTTATTCAGCATGCTTAGTGCTGGTTTTCCTCCTAGCTACTGCACCTATTCATGGTTTGTAGATGTTCATTGTGTTCACCAGAAGGAAGAGGAGATTATCAAACTCCCTGATGAATTTGTGAGAAAAGGTCTCTGTGTCGATGTTTCCCTGTACAGGGCACTAATAAGGAGGTTTTGTAAAAGAGAGAAGGTTGATTGTGCTAAGAAAATATTTGGTCTTATGAAAGAGAAAGGCATATCAGGGGATAGCGTGATATATACCAGTTTAGCATATGCACAATGGAAATCAGGGAATGTGAGCGTTGCTTCAGATCTGTTGGATGAAATGTACAAAAGAAGGCTGATGATTACTCTAAAACTATATCGGAGCTTCTGTGCTTCTTTTGCTGGTGATGACAAGATCTTAGGTCTCTTCTGGAGTCATGTGGTTGATAGGAATCTTATGTCAAAGAACACACTGAAAGATCTCCAGTAACAGAGTTTGTGTCCGCAAGGAGATCTAAAAGTCCTAAAGTAGCCAGCCCTAGCTTTAAATTCCACCTGAAGGTAATTCTGCAAGTTCCTTATCATTTCATGAACAGTTTGGCTTGTACGGGTTGGTCAAACAATGGTTACCATGACGATCCTTAAGGAGATATACCTGTAAGTTCTCAATAATTTCAGGATTGGAACTCGGAGACAGGGTCTCTTTCTGCTAATCTAGATGAAACTTTCTGATGATCACCTAGAAAATATCTGAATGTACACTTTTCGCTTCCTTGTGTTAAGGATACATGTTTTTCAGTAAAGACAACCCCTGGAACTAGTCTACCAAATTCTTTCGTTTCTATTTTACTTTCTTACTTCTGTAAATATTAATGCATCCCATCGGTTTATATATTCGTCTTCGATAACTATTTCCTCCAGCAAGTAGGTCTTTTGAAAAGCTATCATATCTGTAACTGTTAAGAAACAGAACCGATCATCGTGATATATGTGTACGCTTTGTACTCTCCGTGAATGTAGGTGTCTGGAGTCGCAACAAATCTAAATGGCGAAGCCTGCAAAACCACACATATTGCAAAGCACTTGTGAGGCAATCCTTCAAGTGGCAGCTCTTGCTGGGCTTATAATAGTGGTACTACAGGTTGCTCTCATCGCAAGCCTGCTGTTCGTAAGACTGATCTTAGCAAGGGCGAGGGTTCTTGACTTCTCCGTTGGCTGACTCTTTGGATTTTGCTGCTCACTGTTTACAGTACAGTAGTGTTTCCCCAAGGACATTATTCCTTTCCTCCTAAGCTTGAAGCTGGGACTGCACACAACACTTAATCAGGTACGTAATATTAATTAGTTCTATTTATTATATATACCAGCTCATCACCGCATACAGCTTAACTTCATTGAGAGTGTGTAATTAGATCTTAGGTGTTTCAGCCATGCTCAGCATATCCTCAAACGAAGGCTGGCTTAAGTAGGAAACAGGAACTAGAAACCGTCTCTTCTGGGCCTTCCCAACATATTCCGCGAGGAAACCTTTTGGAACATCTTGAAGTGTAGATCTTGATTTGTTTGAGCCAGAACCTGATCGTCGGAGAATTTGCCTAGCAAGATTACCAGGTAATCCAATAGCCATTATCTTTCTTTTCTCAAGGAAACTGATATAAGAGAAATGAAGAGAGATATGTACAATTAGTACTTGAGTACTTATTTTGTGTTGATTCTATATAGAGACAGATTCTTGCTTCCATTTCGTCTCAAATTTGGAGCCCTGACCCAAAACCTGGTTCAAACATAGTTCATGAGGCGTCACATTATCCTGTCTTCCAATGATGGAACAAATTGTAGGGTCGGAGAGGAGGGTATGTGTCCTACTGGTAGAGGCGTAGGCCAATGAATATATTGATAATGAGGTTGTTAGGTTAATCAATTTGTCCATATCTATTGGCGACAAGCTTGAGACAAGTTAGATAGAAGTACAGCGTTGTAAGAGAAAGTGGGTCTCTCAAGGCAGAAGGAAGATGAAGTTAGGACCTGCTTGGTGTGGCATCTAGTGGCAGAAAAGAATCAATAAAGGCGAAATATTTGACTTGAACATTGCATTTTAGGATCCATCTGAACATGAAGTTTAGGGAACTGTTTTTCTGGTTGCGCGGAAAGGTGGACACTAAATGTCCTTAGTTACTCATGGGCAAAATCTTGGGGTAAAAGCACCAATAATGTTACCAAAAGCTACAAAATCAATGCCGCAAGCGAGATCGTGAACATCTAGGGGAGAGAGATCAGAGCCTGCACGAGCAAGGAGATCGGCTTGTGGGCATAACTTATAGTATGGTGACTTATATAATAAAGAGCAAGAGAGATGTGTTTTTTTGTTGTTGAGCATGATCTATTGGGGCTTTCAAATCACCTCGAGGAATAACCAAAACGATGCTGCTTGTGGGGTTCTGTTTATTGCCATCAAACATGGTCCTTGGTCTAAGTAAGCTTCCCTACAATCCAAGACATAGAAAAAAGCTGTATTTGGTTCTGGCAGTGATTATGGCTTGGAGAGCACAAATGACACTTGAATTTCATCTAAACTCAGAGACATAGTTTTCCCTCTGCTAGGTGGTGTGTTGTCCTGAACCGTAAAAAAGAACCACATATATATTCAGCATTTTCCATGCAAAGGTTTTGCTTGTTAATAATACATTTTAGTGAAGCTCTTCTTCAGATCTCTTGTTTCTCCATAATGGTATCATAAGTTGGCTCAAAGCTGAGTAAATGACCACATTTCTGTACCATCAAGTATGAAGCAGAAGCCTTGTAGTTTTAAATTAATAAAACAGAGTAGAGTAATTTTATGCTGGTAATTACCAAAATATAACAATAAAGGGTGCAGCATAATTATATGCTAGACTATGTGTTTTCTTCAGTGGAGGATTCATGTTCTCCGGGACAAAAAAAATGAAAGTTGAAGAGGTGCATAATTGTGGTTATGCATGTATAGAGTAACTTGAATTGGTTTCTGAAACCCAAGTTTCATCCGCTGTTGATTTGTGTAGTTCATTAGGTGGAGAAACACTGGCTATATAGATAATGCTCTTGGTTCACAGTACAGTGCTGAAGGTGTTTAGATGTAGTTGAGATGCTACTGTTTGGCTATGTTCTTGTACATGTGGGCAGTTAGAAGAAAGTCTGATTTCTTTGATGAAGAGTCATTGCTATTTCTCGTTAATCTAGAATCTGAAATTCAAGCTGTTACACGGAAATGGCTGTCGTGGCCATAAAAAAGTTGTCATCTAACTAAACTCATCAGCCTTCTGGAAATCTCTTATGATCTACACAAGCTGGAAGTTACCGAAATGAACATCTCTTCTGTACAGGGAATCGTCAGTCTCCCCATAGGATGGTTGAAACCAAATTCTTCTTCTGCTAACCGCAGCAAATCTTGGAATGATGGGCTGTTCAAGAAGGATACTGGAATGACAAATCTCTTCCTTTTGCCACCCTCTCCAACATATACTGCCACAAATCCTTTAGGAACATCTGAGGATATTGAAGAACATCTACGTGGACTTGGCTTGGGAAGGACACTTGGACAGAGAATAGCCATATGTGGGAATTTTTCTTAATGGGAAGTATTCAATAACAATTGTGAGGACTTGCTTGGGTTGTGAACTATCAATAGCTTCTCTCTTTATATAGTTTGAATGGTATGCTTTGATATCCTTTACCATGGTGAGTGTGTGGCCTGGAATTCCAGCAGGAAACACTGTTAATGAAGGTGATGGTCCCTTCTGTCTTCCACCTAATTAAGAAATTATAGGCTTGAAAACGTTTCTGTGCTGGCTTAATGTATGCAGATTGGGAGACAGTAGGTTGGAGCTGCAAACAAACCGAAGTCAATGAATCATGATAAAGGCAAGAGGGATGGATAGTTGGTGGTATATGTAGTCGTCAATGGACTAGCAACACAAATGGCCCATTGCTGGAGACAATCAATGCAGCAACAGTTTGAAATCTTATGGCATGGATAAATAAAAGAACTTGCTGAAGCAGCATGACCATAATTTTGATCACATTGTTCGCCAAATAAATATTAATTCCTATCTCTCATTTCCTGGAAACAAACTTTGCAGGAAACATCTAAAGTTAGGTGAGCTCCAAATGCAGATGGCAGCACCACCGGCCTTCTCATATAGCATTCACAATTCTCTGTCGGGGAAAATGTTCCCCTTTGCTTTTCCTTTCTGGTGAGTCCTTCTCTTTATTTATTGCTGTGTTTTTTTTCTTCTTCTTAATATGAGTTTTGCTTCGTTCTTAAGTTTGTAAGTTCATCACGGTCAGCGCCAGTGTTTGGAGTGCTGATGTTATCCTAAAAAAACTTGTCTCAAAGGACAAATGCACATGAGTATCAGGAAAAGGGAACCATGTACTTGTCGACGTCTAAAATCTTGTGTGGGGTCATTGTCATGATTTTCCTTCCTTAATCCATGAGTTTGCGGCACACTATGTATCCTGGTAAATTGCAGAACAAATTGGAAAACACTGTCAAACTCTTGATTCTGAGTTGAATTGGATGACATAACCATGTGATCCGGCAACTGCCATTATACTCAGCAAGCCCCACTCCTAGCCCTTTCACCTCTCAACCACACTTCCTAGACTCCTACCATTCCAATCATTTATGGACACATGCATCATTATCAATCAAACCACTCAAAAACTTTCGTTTAACTGACTTTTCTGGGTGGTCATCTAGTCAGAGGGGTATGATTTATGAACCATTGCTGCTGTACTTCCTTTGAGGTAAAGATGAACATTCTCAACCTTCAGATCTCTAGTTAAATATACAATCAGCTGTGTCATTTCAACCTGTTGGGCTGCTACTGCAGTAACTGAAGTAAATATATTAAAATGCGGATTTATGTTACTATAGCCGATCATAAGTTGCAGAAAGTCTATATGTTTTCTTTTCTTAAATTATAGAACTGTAAGCCTGGGCTGTGAACAGCTAGGAAGGTAGCTGTTGAATACGGATGGAAACAACTGAAGCTTGTTTTGGTGGATACACAGAGCAGGAATTGACACTATAGTACTTCATTACTTATATGGATGCTCATGCTTTCAGCAACACTTTCTGTTAATTACCCGAGAAGAGTTGGATAGTGTAATAAAGCAGGAAAAAATGGAAAGTGATTGTGTGATTTGAACTAAAAAGGCTCTCGATTCACTATATACAGGTAAAACTTTCTCAATCAATCAATCTCTTAAAGCTTAATCAGCTTGAAGGAGAGGAAGAATGTCATTTACATTAATCAACGATTCTTGTCGTTCTGAATCTCTATACAAACTATTTTTAGTTGCTCTGTCCTTATTATCCGCTGAGGATGGAGATGACATAACTAAATCTCTCTTCACTGCAGGGGATTGTCAAGCCACCCATTGGATGATCAAAGCCAAACTCCTCTTCAGCCATGCTCAGCAAATCCTGAAATGAAGGCTGGCTCAAGTAGGCTACAGGAACTATAAATCGCTTCTTCTGGTTCTCCCCAACGTACACCGCTAAGAAACCTTTAGGCACATTTGTAAACCTTGAAGTTGCTCTGTTTGAGCCAGATCCTGAACGGCGAAGAATTTTCTTAGCAAGATTACCAGGTAAGCCAACAGCCATGATCTCTGTGTTTTTTTATTATATGAAATTGCTCAGAAATGTAGAGATATATGTCAGCTGAAAACGTGAGCTGTTGGTTTCTGGCTGAGTTCTGAGGGTCGTATATATAGATAGGAGGGTCCTTCCTACTCCACAAATTTGAAGCCTGGTCCTAAGGCTCAGATAAGACATAGTTGATGAGGCATCACATGGTCCTGTCTTCTATTGATGACAGAAATTGTAGGGACTGAGAGAGGGTACGTGCCCTACAGGTTGAGGGGTAGGCCTATGGACGATGACTTAACTTTGGAAATAGGACCATTTCAGAAGAGAGAGATAGAGAGAGAGAGAGGGGCGGGGAGGAACCACGGAAAAAGGAAGATTTCCATATATCAATAATGAAGCTATTTTGATACAGCTAATTTTCCATATCTGTTCGCTACATGTTTCAGGCAAGCTGGATACATATTACGGAACTCCGTTTTATAGGGAAATGCAGGTCTAACAATGCAGAGGGAGGACAAAGTAAGACACGTGGTTGTTATTGCAACTAACGTAACAGAGAAGGGACACATAAAAGAAAATATTTGTCTTCAAGATTTCAGTTTCAGGGTCGATGTGGGTGTTTTTCTAGGGTAACTTAAGAGTATAAAGAAGGATATCTGCTTTGGTGGGGCATTATACAATGGATAACTAAACTTGATTCTTCTTCTGTAGTTCCATTTATCGGCATCCAACGTGGTCCTCAATCATGTTGTTCAAAGCACCTAGAAATTCCTCTGATCCTAGGTAGCATCAGGATGTAGTTTACTTCATCCAAAACTTAATCTCTAGTTCTTTTAACAGACGTGTACTGACATATTCTGCATCTTGCTTCTCTCTGATAGAGTCAAAATTTGTTCACTGCTGCATGATTGGTTACATTCCTGTACTATGTTTTCAAAGTATACTAAAACACAGTAAAGGAACATGGATTCGAGGGAAGTCTTAAATTTGTTGAAGAGGTACATTATCACAGCTACCTATGTGTGGAATAAACCTGAAATGGGTTTTTGTCTTTTTGAAGTTGGACTTTCCAAAAACTGTTTTTGTGTAGTTCATTTGCTATAAAGAGAATTATACCGATTCACAAAACCTAGCTAAAGGTTGTGTACTAAAGATACAACGTTTACTTTGTTCTAGCACACTTGTCAACAATTGGACATTAGTCTGATTTGTTTAGTTTCATTGGACGATAAATAGCTGCTTTTATGTACATTTATTAATTACTTTACACATTGTGGTTATGGCTAACATTCTGCATCCGGTAAGCATATTTTTAAAATTTCGAGCAGCTTGGTCTAGCAGATTTGTAAGTATATAATAATCAGCGTAAGTTTGGCTTTCTTATTGCAAGGGAATGCGGTGATTAAGGACTCAACGACTGAACCTTGTTTCTACGGACAAGCGAAGGTAGAATGTACATGACGATGCTTCATAAGATAT